AAAAAAAAAAAAAAAAAAGCAGTTTCGCGTCACGAGCAGGGCCATATCCGAGACCATTAGCATTAGTTTCCCTCACCATATCCGAGACCATTTTGGAATAGGCACGGTAGAACATTAAGGGCATACTGGAGCTTCGAGTTGGATAAAAATCGACAACAAAATGTGCAAACTCTTCTTAAATTCAGTATTCTCAGTTTCAATTCAACGTACTAATCTTTGAACTGGAGTAATCACATCGCAATTAAAGATGATTCGTCTTACTACAACATAAAATGCCGAAGAAACTGAGGATGAAATGATGATTTATTATAAGATATTTTTATCCTTTATTAGTCATTACATCAAGCAAGCGGAGACTTCTTAAGAAACAAAGTTCTTGAACCAGCATTTCACAGAGTCAAGAAGGAATAAATATTTCCTCGTCGGTTTTCTGAAGCAACACGATAAAGACAATACGGCAGGGGACGAGCATAATTAAGGGGAAAAAAAGTTACAACCTTTCCTGCTATAGTGCATCCACATGAATTATCAAATGCTTGGGGCTCATTTCTGGATGATGTATGCAGGTCAAGTAGAACAAATTCTTCAAACTGCTTGCATCCAGGCGCCCAATTTCTATTATATCTATGCAGATCATCAACTGCATCACATATCACAGTGAGTGCGTGAGTTCTTACAAACTGATCCATTGATAAACCATAGACATCGAATTTCAATGAAATAAATTAGAATTTTCGATGTCTCCAGTTTTGACTTTTCATTGCATCAAAAGTAATACAATAGGAAACTATATAGTTACCAACAGAAAGTAATGCAGATAATCTGATAAACTGCTTAGAATAATGCTACTTGTACGTAATCAGTTACATAATGGTTTACATACATAATGGTTTACATACAGATACGATGTCAAAAAAAGAGAGAAGTTTTTTTTTTTTAATTTGGTTGAAGAAATTCCGATCCAATCATATCTCACCTCATCATGTGTATGTAAGCATATTATGTATATATAGCACAACCGAATTGTTTAATTGCATACATACAGCATATGGCTTTCCTTAACCATGCTAAATTCATTATGCAGTCTAGAAGCAACATGGTGCACCTTGTTCCAAAACCGTGTGCCTGGATATGTGACGGTGGCAAAAGTAGTGTAATGAAATAAAATAAAAAACATTTTTTCATAATATATATAATAATATTGATAAATGGATACCTCTTTCTAGGCCATCACGTAAATAAAAACAAAAGTTAAAAAACTTAACATACATGAAAAAGTTAGAAAACTTAACAAGTTAGAAAACATACAATTCAATCAAGGAACCACATCAAAACCTCAACCAGCCAGCAAAACACACACGGAAATCCAACCCCGTGTCTTCCTGGTTCAATAAAAAAATCAGGACCATGTGCATCCAAAAGTTAATCTCAAAATAATTTTTAAAAATAGAACAGCTTTGTGAAGCTTTTTTCAAGAAAAGAGATCCCAAATTAAGATCAGCTTATTGAATCCTGTTAAATTCCTTTTACTAAAATTAACTTTCATTAAAACTTGCTGAATGTGATTGTATTCGATATCATTTTATGAATGCGAGGAAGTTTACCAAACTGCACAGTTACTTATGAAATTACCAATATTAGGTGCAAAAATTGAAAGGCTATGGGTCTCTGAACTATTAGCTCCACACCACAATCCCAGTTTATTCCTTATTAACAAGAGGGATGTTCAACAGAACAAACATACTTATAGAAAAGCATGTGAAGGTAACATAGAGTTAGGTCTGTGCATTTTCACAACAGTGCCATTGGAAGATACGAGTGGAACGGGTAAAAGTTCTACGGTGAAGAGCCCGCTGAAAGTGACCTTATTAAAGATAATATTCGGGAAATGCTTGATTGCAAAAAGAAGTATGTTGTGTCTCTTAATCCTGTTTCCATCATAATTGTAATGAACAAAACTATGCCACATTCAGCACAGAAAGAAAAAACTATTTGCAAAAGAAGGTCATAAACAGATGTATCTCACCGGATCTTGAATTACTGAAAATCCTTGCCTATTGATTTGAAATCTTCAGGAGGCCATAACTACAGACAAAAGAAAGCAAGAATAGATCTTCAAAACATTGAAATCTAAATGAAACTTGAATCAAAATACCTCTAGTAAAATTAAATTTAAGGCATTCAATCTGTCTAATTCAAACTAGTATACAATCCTTTTAAATTGAAGTTCAAAGGTAGCCTCTAGATTCTTTTCAATATGTATAAACAAAATCCAAGAAACACAAATAAGGCTATAAAGCAATTTGGAGTCTGAAATCCTGCAGCTAAATGATAAATTTACTTACCACGCAGAAAACTCTGCCTTGCAGAAGAGCATAAGGAACTGGCCCAAACTTCCTTGAATCCTTAGTATTATATTTATTATCCCCCTCTATCCAAACGTGGCCCTGTGGTACCTAATAAAATTGAAAAAATAAATCCCAAAATCTGGTTAAAAAATACAAAGAGCAAAAATTTTACACCACACACAAGAAAACTGATAACATATTAATGCACAACCTTTAAAGCCTCAAGCACAACTCATCAAAGGACTAATGCATGCTCCAGTAGTTGTACCTTGCTCTAGGAATATAATTATACATACATATTATGCACTTGGAAGAGACAGATAACTATATTGTATATGCAGAGGAATTATTCAGATGACTGTAAGAAATATTAAATAGATTGATTGTGCATAAGGAATTTGTTTAGAACCCCAAAAACCCTAAACAGTATTTTATTATCTATAAAAAAATGCTATTGGATTGATCATATACAAAATCAACACAATCCACTACACTAAACCAACTTAAGTAGCATACCAAAAAAGAAAAAATTCGGATTCATTATACAACAAACAAGAACATTTCTGAAAACAAATTGAAAATGGAAAAAGTTAAGAATTAGGGTTAATTACAGTAACTGTCTTTTCTTCATCACTATTCTTAGGATTCACCAAGTAAGTAACACTGTCACCTTCCCCGCCCTTCACTCTTTTGGTCATAAACTGTCTCGGGTTTTCGGGGCTCCGTACCAGAACCACATCACCCGGGCCAACTTTCCCCAGACGGGTCGAGATTCTTTCAGCCAAAAGCAAGTTACCATAGAGATTGATCGTTGGGAGCATGCTGGGACCCATACCCTGCAACCACAGAACCTATACTTCAATAATTTGTCTCCAGCAAGAGAGTACGTTGAGGTACAAGATGCTCATACATACCCAAGCGAAAGTGCAAATGTACGTGTTTGTAACGTGAAGAAAGCAGAAGAATTTGGTCACACGTAGGGTTTGTTGCAGAGCGTCCTTTACAAATGGCGTCAACTGCCTCAGAGTTTGCATCTCTCTCCCCTCCTCTCTCTATACGTATATGTATATATTCTTTTGATGTGGAAACTGAACCCAATTGGGCTTGGCCAATGAAGCCCGAGTACTGGGTCCAAAGCAGGTCTCGTGATTTTCGTGGCCCTAGGCGAACTCCGACCCTCAAAATTAAAGTAAATGCAAAATCCAACGGCTTATTAAAGTTTTCAATATAGTTACTACGTGTGCCTGTACAATTGATCCTACAATAACCAATCATATAAGCCGGCAAGGCTTCAAACATTTTCAATATATTCAATAACAATTTAGGGCAAATCATCGCTTACCTGAGAAGTGGAATTTCGAGGAAAATTATCAAATCAAAGTATCACACTCTTGAGAATTCCATCGTCACAACTCACAAACCTGAAATAAATATTTAACATCAACCACCAACAATTGGGACGTGACACTGATGACTACATCAGAAACATAATATATGAAATTCAGAATAAGATGCAAAATATTTGTTACCAAAAAGCTCTAGGCCTTTCACAGTGGTGATACATTTCCGCTTGTTTCTAGTCATCTTTTCAATAATTTCTAGCTTCTCCTACAAAACAATTCATAATATGTTTAGTGCACTCAAAACTGAACCCTTCATAAGAGAAATGTAACACAAAAAATACAGACAACTTCAATGATTAATGGTCCCCGGTTCAAAATTCTCGACAACAACTTATGTTTGGTTGTGCTTTAAAGGGTCTTTGTTTTGACAGCAACACCTTTGATGCTGTCTAAAGAAGCACAACCCAAACATTCTTAGAACAAAAATGTAAGTATGCAACAGCACTAACGAGAATTAATATGCATCTCTTAAGGGGAGGATACAAGAAACACAAGGACAACAAACCATTTTCATTTAAACCGAGTTCCTTGATTCATCAGTGGAGATCTTAACATTAGCATATAAAATTTGTATTATTTCATGACTTCTGAATTGCAATGGGAAAGACTATTCATAAAATTCTATACTAATTACACAAGCAAACTATTAAGAAAATTATATGAAAATCAAACATCTATTTTCAGTTAAAAACTCTGCAACATCTTCATAGTATAGCAAAATTATCTCTCTTGTTTATAACTATATTTCGAAACCTTTCCAGAGATGACCCATCATAAATTTAGTGTTATCCTGTAAATTACAATAATTCATACCTCAATTTCGTGAATTTAAAAGAAAAGGACAGAGAGCAAATACTAATTGTAGGGAAAAAAATATGCCAACATATGTGCACTCAAAACCGAACCCTTCATGAACTCCCAAAACTAGTAATATAGAAACACCATAACCACTATGGCAGTTCCCAAAACTCCAAAAGCAGGCCGGCAGGCCCTAAAGGTACAAAAAGAGATTCTCGAGAAATCTCACCTTCTTTTTAATCTTTCCACCGGTTGGAGTTGGACTTGGAGGACGTCGTCGATTGCCTGGTCGCCAGTTCGATTGGAGTTGGAGGAGTCGAGGTCGAGCATGAGGTAGTGAAAACAGATTTCCCCTTTTCCTCCTTTATTAATAATTAATAAAAAACATTGGGCCAAAAATAGGCCCCTCCAGTTTTGGGCCTGGGACGCCGGCCTCATTTTCCTCGCCACAGGGCCGGGTCCAATAATTTTAAAAGGAAATTGGCATAAATAACACTAAAAGAAGATGTGTTGAGCACTACTTTCTATTGTTTCAATTTTATGGAAGCCCCAATTAATTCTATTGTTATGCTGAAAGTCAACTAGTTGCACTGTCTCCGGCCCCTACAACAGTAATTGTTTGCATACAATCACATATGTTGGGAACTCAACATTTGACTTTGTCGGACTCTATTACAATTTTCGTCCCACCCATCAATCATGTCTTTGGCTTCCAACAACAAACGTAAGCTTCTACGGATAGTAGAAGCTCCAGTTGCTCCAATTGTACGAAGGCAACAAGTGGAATAGAGAATTCAAGAATAGACACATGTTGACGTTCCAATCTTCATACTCCTTTCAAGGCATATTCGTTCTTCCTTATTTTTCTGAGAAGGGACGTGGGCCATTTAAAGAAAGTGTTCAAATTGCAATTCCAAGAGAGCGAAAATACTCGAGGGACCTTGTGCCTGGAAGAACCATGGGGTGAAGGCAATTCTTCCTCGGCTGCATTTTGACAGGATATTTGGTGTGGTTTTCTTGAAAATTGCAGTAGAATCTCTAATTTACAAATTTTCTTGGCGAGCGAATACGTTTCAAACTAAAATCGGTTTAGGTTAATTTTTACAATCTTAGCCTCATTTTTTACCATCCATCAAAATGTCCTTTTAGCTGTAGGAGTCCTCCTCGGTCATCACTATAGACCACTAGATGTAGCAAAATTTCTTGATCTTTCTTCAACCTACCAAGACTGCATTTAGTATTTGTAACCAAAAATGCTTTTTTGCTATAAAAAAAAAAAA